CTTGGGTGAGGATTAAAAATAAATAATAATAATAATAAATAAAATTTAAAAATAAATATTTCTCTGGCTCTCTCCTATCTGGAAAAAGGAAGCCTCAAACCTGGAATGGGAGAATTGAAATTGGTCATATCATGCTTTGGTGTAACTGCTTCTACCCTGCAACTGTGCTTCCATTTATCAGCCTCCCCAGTCCTTTTGTGATCACTATGTACACTGGCCATGTAAGGGACCATAACTTATTTAAGATGAGGACACTGAAAATTAAGTTCCTTTGTCTGTGACATCCTGGCAGCTGAAAGCTGGAAGCCAGGTGTTGCCATTCCCAGCACAGGCCCATTGACATGCTGCCTATGAACACAGCAGTGATTCATGTGGAACCCTGAATCCCTCAGGTCTGCATCTCCCTGTGGAGGTTGGGGTTCCTCTCTAAGGCGTCACAGAGAAGAAGGGAGTAATTAATAGCCCTTGGCCCTTAGTTCCTGCTGGCAAACTCTCTTCCTCAGTCACCCCACTTGCTCCTTCTCTGGCAGTCTCAATCTCTGACGTGGAGACAGTGCGTAATGGCCATCAGTCTGAGTTGTTGCGCAGCCTGGCAGAGGAGTTCCCCCTGGAGCAGGGCTTCACCATCGTCTTCCATGGCCGCCGCCCCAACCTGGACCTGGTGGCCAACAGTGTTGAGGAGGCCCAGATCTGGATGCAGGGGCTCCAGCTATTGGTGGACTTTGTCACCAACATGGACCAACAGGAGCGGCTGGACCAGTATCTGCAGGATGGAGTCGGAGTGGGGGCTGGGTCACTGAAGGAACAGATGCTGCAGAGCTAGGGACAGGTGGGAGGGGATACAGGGCTAGGGAGGCCCAAGAGTCCAGATGGGGTGGGTAAGGGCAGCTCAGGTCGACGTGAGGCTGAGAACACCGAAGGAAGAATCGAGGTTTGAGATGGCAGAGGCATAACCAGGCAGAGTTTGGGCATGAGTCAGGCCCCCTAAGATTGGGGAAAGGGACAGTGAGAGGTCAAGGACCAAACAAGGTGCTGATCCTGGGAGATGAACAGAAGATCCTAGTGGCATTAACTACCAGGGGGGTGGAAACAATCCCATAGAGGGCTTAGTGGCATAGACTCACTTCAAGTTGCCTAGATTGTACTCACCTTCTGTGCCAGTTCATACATTCTTTCATACATTCATTCACCATCTGTGAAGCAGAATGTAGCAGGTACTATATGCCAGGCTCTAGGGGTACAGTGGGAAATGTGACTCAGATATTGCTTTTGTCAGGGAAGAAGATGAAACTGTGTAAATAATCTAAGTACCATGGAATTGTTGTGGTACTTAGATTATTTGGGGGCATTCAAAGGAAGGAGAAATATTTAATTCTAGCTGAGAGGGTTCTGAGAAAGCTTTAGAGAGGAAATAGTATTTTAGCTGAGTCTTGAAAATGAGGAAAGTTTGAACATGAAGAGAGAAGGAAGGAAAGCCACTCCTGTGTGAAGGAATAGCATGAGTTAAGGCCCAGAGATAGGAAATTGAAGAGCTGGAGAGCTGGGACATCAGAGAGCGGGTAAGGCTAAAGTACAGGAAGGACAGAGATGTGTTGAGAAGACTGGGTTGGGGCCAGACCATGGGGGCGCAGGAGATCTTAACCTCTATGTTAAGGAATCTGGGCTTTCTGCAGGTAGCAGAGGAGTCCCTGCAGGCACCTGAGCCATGCAGGGATAAGATAGATAGGTGCTCTGGTGGGACTATTCTGGAAGCTAATGTGGACAATTAATTGGCATTGGGGATAGACAGGCAGCAAAGACAGGGAGAGAGAGATGTCAGCAGATGAACATGCACACACTTCTGTGCACACAAACACACACACAGTGCTTTTGCCTTGACTGGGACCTGGATGGCTGAGTGACTGGTTCCTGCGTGGAGACAAAAACCAGGATGGTCGGATGACATTCCAAGAAGTCCAGAGGTTACTACACCTGATGAATGTGGAAATGGAACAAGAATATGCCTTTCAGCTTTTCCAGGTGAGCCTTCTGGGGAAGGGTTTGCAGAAGCCAGCCAAGGCCACATTCTCACTTGACCAGAAGCACCCTGACCCTATCCAACAACACTCATTTTTTGAATCTCTATTATGTGCCCCCAGCACTATGCCAGGCTAAGCGGAAAGTGTAGGCCATGGTTCTTACTCTTTAGTCTTGTTGGAAAGATGATTGATACTCTTATGAAAGGTAAGTTAACAATATATTTTTACATCAGACCTCAAGGATCTCTCTGCCACTGGCCAGACTTTCACAGGTGCCTAGTACAATGGAAAAATCCAACTGGAGTGTGAATAAATAGGACGGATATTTTAACCTTTGGGGCATTTCAATTCTTTCTAGTTGAAAATTTTCTTTAGTAGCAAATAGTGTGAAATTTTGCTTTTTACTTACTAAAGTGGCTTCTTTAATGAACACGAAATATCAGGTGTCCTGTGAAAGCATATTTAGATCCATTTGTCAGTAAAACTGTCCTTACAAGATAAGTCAAGGCCATGAAAGTTGCTGCTAAAGGGTTTGTCCGTGTCCACTCTCCTCTAAACCCTCCTGTAGGCAGCAGACACGTCCCAGTCTGACACTCTGGAAGGACAAGAATTTATAGAGTTCTACAAGGCATTGACTAAGCGTGCCGAGGTGCAGGAACTGTTTGAAAACTTTTCGGCTGATGGGCAGAAGCTGACCCTGTTGGAGTTTGTGGATTTCCTCCGAGAGGAGCAGAAAGAAGGAGACCGTGCTTCTGATCTTGCTCTGGAACTCATTGACCGCTATGAGCCTTCAGAGAGTGGTAAGAGGACCAGAGCAGAGAGGCACCAGACATGGGGGCAAGATGGGGGACCATGAACAGAAAGGCCCAGAGACCAGCAGCCTTCTGCCTGACTCAAGGAAGGCTGAGTCCACCCCTACCCTGACCCCCTGCCCAGCCACCTTCATCTCATTCAACCACTCCTCTGGAAGGAGAGCAGCCATTTCTTGCCCAGACAAGACAGGGGTCTCCTCTGGAATGCTAGATCGCTCTGGAGGAAGACCATGCCACAAGACCCCTTTGTCCCACATGCTCATGTTACACATCTTTCACTTGCAGAAAGTTCTTCTTGATATCAACTTTTGGCTTCAGTGGAAATGGAAAATCCTTGGTCCCCTTGCTTTGGCCTCTTCTCCTCTAATGCATATGATCCCTTTTCCTCCAGTTCTCTTCATGTTTGCCATCTCTTTAAACGCTGGTGCTCTGCCCTTTCCTGGGCTTTCTTCAAATTTACCAAATGGCTCATTAAGTCACTAAGCCCCTGAAAGCTCTAGGAAGCTAGTCAGCCCCTGGTTGAGGGGAATGATGATGAGGCCAATCACTTAGCTTTTATCAAACACAGCTAAAATATGCCCTCTCCGCCCTCAAACTTTTCTCCTTGCCCTTTTAGTAGACATCTTCCCGCGCTCCATTCCCTTCAGAATGTGAGGAATTTACATTATTAATAATAAATGATTTACAAGGCACTTTCATGTGTCTTACTTCATTCAGTCCTCGCTAAAACCTTGTAAATCAAGATTGGGCCTTTGCCAAGACTTCCATAATGTGCCAATTTCTCTACATGCCTTTTCTCTTCTAATCCTTCCAATGACCTGTTGAAATAGGTTCTATTATTAAGTCAGTTGTGCAAAAGAAGAAAACGTAGGTTTAGAACAATGAAATGACTTGCTCAAAGCCAACAGCTACTGAGAGGAGGAACTGGGATTCAAACCCAGGTCATCTGATTCTTACTTGGTGCCTCTCTTGAGAATGAGGGTTAGAGACGACATGAATGAGAGCTGGACAAGTGACCCAGGTTTCCTAAGTCTCAACTCCCTCTTCCTTTCATTCATTCATCCACTCACACATCACCTCCACTAGTGCTTATTGAGGACCTAAATGTGCCAGGACTTATGCTAGAAACCAGAGATACAGTAGTAGGTCAAAGCAAGGACAATGTATTCATGGAACTTAGAGAAAGTGTTGAAATCAGTAATTTCAGATTCATGTGGGTGCTCAAAGAAGAAAGGGGGCTGAAAGCAATCATTTCAGAAAACCACATGGAAGAGGAATGCCTCAGGGTTAAGAAATAGAATCTTCTATTCCCAGTGCAGAACCCAGTATACATCAGTTACATTTATTCTACCCTCCCTTGGCACTGGACTATCAGATACTATACTCTGTCTACAGGGTAGTATCAGTCAAGAGACCTGGGCTCAAGTTCCCACTCTGCTTCTTACTAACTGAGTAACCTTGGGCAGGTTGCTTAATCTGAGACTCAATTTTCTCATTTTTAACATAATTGGTGATCAAATGAAATAATGCCTATGAAAGTATCTGGCAGCTGTGGACTTAACCTAGTGATCTGATGTAGTACTGTAAAGAATGAAACTTGCTGCCATTCTTCAGCATCTCCAGATCTTGTCAAACCTGGAACAAGGAAGCTGGGCATGAGAGTCTGGTTTTTCTGCCTCCCAAGGGACCTCCCCTGCAGCAATGTTACCCTCAGTGAGACTGCACAGCCCAGTCGTGTAGGATGTGCTTCTGACACCTTGCTACCTGGGTTCAAGTCCCTACACTTACTGGTTATGTGACCCAGGATAAGTTACCTAACTTCTCAAGGCAGATTACAGTACATCTACCTCATGTACCTCATCGCGTTGGTGAGAGCATTAAGAGAGATTTTACGGCAACATCCTTGGCATAGAGCAAGTGCTCAGCAACTGTTAGTTGTTGTCATTGTTACTATATGAAGCCCATGCTGAAATGGTGAGGGCTATGGAAGGAGTGAAAGGACCCTTGAAGAAAGTGTGGTCCAAGGCAATGTTGGACAGACATTCTTCAAACACTGTATGGGAACTGACAATAGGAAGAAACCCTCAGGTCACAGTTGACAGCAGCTACACAGCCCAGGGAATAAAACAGAAATACCTTGGTTGTGTCACTAACAAGTCTTTGACTTTGATTTTCTCTGGGCCTCAGTTTCCGTATCTATAAAATTACCCCTTCGGGCTGAATACTGTGCTGTCCATTATGGTAGCCATGGACTCCATGTGACTGTTTAAATTTAAATGAACTAAAATCAAAATTGAAAATTCAGTTCCTCAGTTACACAGCTACATTTCAAGTTCTCAGTAGCCTTATGTGTCTAGAAGTTACCATATTGAACAGTGCAGAATAGAACATTTCCATCATTGTGGAAAGTTCTATTGGACAGCATCGAACTAGAATGAATGTAATGATTCCCCTGGTAGCATTAACATTCTCTGAGGGTGGAGATGATTGAAATGACAGACACTGGGATGGGGCAAGTTTGGGTTCTGGAGGCCGGGAGTGGACATCATCTGACAGGCAGGGCCCTGGAGAGGGGTGGGGTGGAGGACTGGCTGTAGGTGTGCTGGGGTGCTCCCATTCAGAGTTCTCTCATTCCAGTGTCCCCCTGCTCCACACCCTAGGCAAGTTGCGGCATGTGCTGAGCATGGATGGCTTCCTCAGCTACCTCTACTCGAAGGACGGAGACATCTTCAACCCATCCTGCCTCCCCATCTACCAGGATATGACTCAACCCCTGAACCACTACTACATCAATTCCTCTCACAACACCTACCTGGTGGGGGACCAGCTTTGTGGCCAGAGCAGCGTCGAGGGATATATACGGTGCAGTGGGGAGGAGGGGAGGAGGGTTTGAGCTCACGAGAAGGGAACACTGTGGGAAATTGAGGACATTGTCAGTGGATAACAGGGATTGAAAAGATATTGTGTGGGATGGGTTTGGGGGCTGAGGATCCCTGGATATTTGAGAGACTTGCAGGAGATACTGAAGACTGGTGGGAGAGTGGTGTTAAAACCTATGGGTAAATGGAGCTTCTCTTTTTTTCATAGGCTAGGAAACTCTCTTGGAACTCAGAGGTCCTGACAGATATATTTTAAATAAACTGAATGTTAAATGGAAGGCAGTAGAGCATAGGAGTTAAAAACATAGGTCCTGGAGTCAGACCATTTGAGGTCAAATCCTAGCTCCCTTGCTTGGTACTCGGGGGCTAAGTATTTAAGCTCTCTAGGCCTCACTTTCCCCATTGGTGAAATGGGGGTGAGACCAGCGTCTATTCTGTCTGGGTTAGTGAGATAATCTGTGTCAATGCCTAATAAATAGTACCTGCTTCTATCGTGATTAATCATGGATTAGAACAAATCACCAAGATATCTTTGCAGTTGCTACTGATCTAGTAGCTTCAGGGCATACAAAGATGAATGGGGCATATAGTTTCTGCCCTAAGAAGTCCAGTAGAGAAAATAAATTTACGTTTGAATAACTCAGGTTTTGTATAATGAAATGCAACCAGAACAACAGAAGCACCATGAGGCAGTATGTGACTGCTTGCTAAGGAAAGACTGTGAGCTGGTTGGGGGTGAGGCTGGAGATCAGTGTGAGCTACAGCAGTGTTCCAATGGTCTATGGATATGTAGCTTGAAGGGATCTTGACAGATAAGTGCCTGTGAGCAGTTTTCTCCACAGTGGAGAGAGGGTCCCTAGGTAGAAGATCAGACCTTGACCCCTCCTGTCCCTGGGGGCTTGGGGGTTCTTTCAGGGCCCTGAAGCGGGGCTGCCGCTGTGTGGAGGTGGATATATGGGATGGACCTAGTGGGGAACCTGTCGTTTACCATGGACACACCCTGACCTCCCGTATCCTGTTCAAAGAAGTTGTGGCCACTGTAGCACAGTACGCCTTCCAGGTAGGAGCCGCAGGAAGGGAATATTGGTGAGGCAGGAGGCTCTGAGGAAAGAGAGGCTGGCTCTGGGTCTGGGGGGCACGGGAGGCTACATCAAATGGCAAATAGGTAAACAAGATTTTAACTGTGAAGAACCAGGAAATTTTTTTAAAATTATTGATTTTAGAGAGAGAAAAGGAGAGAGAAACATTGATTTACTGTTGCACTNAAAAATTATTGATTTTAGAGAGAGAAACATTGATTTACTGTTGCACTTATTTATGCATTCATTGGTTGATTCNGCACGGGAGGCTACATCAAATGGCAAATAGGTAAACAAGATTTTAACTGTGAAGAACCAGGAAATTTTTTTAAAATTATTGATTTTAGAGAGAGAAAAGGAGAGAGAAACATTGATTTACTGTTGCACTTATTTATGCATTCATTGGTTGATTCTTGTGTGTGCCCTAACCTGGAAACAAACCAACAACCTTGGTGTATCGGGATGACACTCTAACCAACTGCGCTACCCAGCCAGATATTAAGGGATTATTATGAGTGTTAGCTGTGTTACTACTAATTAGTTGTCATAGAGATAATTGCTAGCTATTAGTCACTTCTAACAACTTCTGTCACCTGTCTGAGAGAGGGTGGATTAAGAAATAGACAAAGTGGTGGGTAGGGCTGGGGGGTGATAAGAACCTGGACATGAAAGCATGAGAGTTTAACATGAACATGTAACCAGGAGAGTGGCCTGTCCTACCCACTCTAAGCCTGAAAACCCTAAGTTCCCAGAGGAACCTGGGTTGGACCTGACACTTGTCTGAGATTTGGGATCCCAAGAGTGACTTTTATTTATTTTATACTTTAAATTTTTATTGTCCCTTCACTTTTTTTTACTTTCTTAATTACATTTATTGGGGTGATATTGGTTAATAAAATTATATAGGTTTCAGGTGTACAGTTCTATAATACATCATCTGTATATTGTATTGTGTGTTCACTACCTCAAGTCAAGTCTCCTTCCATCATCATTTATTCCCCCCTATACCCTCGTCTACCTGCCCCCCACCCCTCTTACTCTCTGGTAATCATCATACTATTATCTGTATCTATGAGGTGGGGTTTTTTCCTTAATCCCTTCACCCTTTTCACGTAGCCCCCCAACCCCCTCCCCTCTGACAGCTGTCAGTCTTTTCTCTGTATCTGTGAGTCTGTCTCTATTTTGCTTGTTAGTTTATTTTGTTTAGTGAAATCATATCGTACTTGTTTTTTTTCAATTTCACTTAACATAATGCTCTCCAGGTCCATCCATGCTGTAGCAATGGTGAGCTTTCCTTCTTTTTTACAGCCAAGTAGTACTCCATTGTGTAAATATAGCACAGTTTTTTGTTGTTGTGGTGTTGTTTTTAATATATCTTTACTGACTTCAGAGAGAGGAAAGGAGATGGAGGGAGAGAGAAACATCAATGATGAGAGTCATTGATCGGCTGCCTCCTGCGGGCCCCGACCGGGGATTAAGCCCACAACCCGGGCATGTGCCCTGACCAGGAATCGAACCACAATCTCCTGGATCTTAGGTTGATGCTCAACCACTGAGCCACACCCTGCCAGGCTGTAGCACAGCTTTTTTATGCACTCATCTACTGATAGACACTTGGGCTGTTTCCAAATCTTGGCTATTGTAAATAATATAAATCTTGGCTATGAGCATAGGGGTGCATATATTCTTTCGAATCAATGTTTCAAGTTTCTTTGGATATATTCCCAGAAGTAGAATCGCTGGGTCATAAGGCAGTTCCACTTCCGCTTTTAATTTCTTGAGGTAACTCCATACTGCTTCCCACAGTGGCTGTACCACGACTGACTTTTAGATGTGAGGTGGGCTCCAGACCCAGCAAAATCTCCTTGAAGCCTGGAATGGTGTTGGAGGAGTTTAGCAATCAGGGTACTCAGTTGAGTGTGTAACTAGATGGTCCTGGAGAAGCAAGGAGGTTATAGGCTTTAGAACTCTGGCTCCAGCGTCCCCTTCTCTCCCCATCAGACATCAGACTATCCAGTCATCTTGTCCCTGGAGAACCACTGCAGCTGGGAGCAGCAGGAGATCATTGCACACCATCTGACCGAGATCCTAGGGGAACAGCTGCTGAGCACCACCTTGGATGGGCAGCTGCCCACTCAGTTGCCCTCCCCTGAGGTATGGACCCTGCTCCCCCAGCCCTGGCTCTTCTGTGGCTTCCATATCCCCCCACTTTGGCTCCTTCCTCCATGTTTTTCCCTTCTTCTCACCCTCAAATGGACCATCTTGCTCTTCATATCCTTTAATTTTTAAAAATCTAATTGAACATAGAATTCTATTTATAGTTCTCTAAATTTTAAATCAATGATTTACTTTATATTTAGTTTTTCAGTGGAAGTATCTTAACTGTTTCCTTGAAAGTTCATAATTGTTGTAGACTATACCAACAATAAAGAGAAAGGGAAATTCCCCCACCATAATGTCAACCTTTCCCAATAACTGCTGTCAACAGATTTTAAATGCTTATATAAACATATATGTGCATACATATTCCCATTTTAAAAGAGTGATTGATTATATCGTACGTCAGCTATAAAAAAGTGAATGGGGTTATTCTCTATATCCTTTTATTTTTATTTTTATTTTATTTTTTAAAAGTATATCTTCATTGATTTCAGAGAGAGGAAGGGAGAGGGAGAGAGAGAGATAGAAACATCAATGATGAGAGTCATTGATCGGCTGCCTCCTGCATGCACCCTACTGGGGATCGAGCCCACAACCTGGGCATGTGCCCTGAGCGGGAATCGAACTGCGATCGCCTGGATCCTAGGTCAACGCTCAATCACTGAGCCACTCCTGGCTGGGCTCTCTCTATCCTTTTATATCACATATAACATATATCACAGACGTCATTTCATGTATAATATTTTTCCTTTTTAACAACCCTATGGTATTCCATTTCGTATTATGGGCCATATGTTATCCAACCAGTAGATGGCAAGCATAACCAGTAAATGGTAAATATTTAGGTTGGTAATAATTTTTCATGTGTATATGCAGCTTTGCCCATTTATTCTTTCTTTGAGGTGGATTCCTAGAAGCAAAATTGCTGGGTTGAAGGCTTTGCATGTTGACATTTTGGTTATTATTACCAAGTTGCCCTCTGAAAAAAATACAAAATAACCCTCCCACCAACAGTATAAGAGAGGGACCACAAAGTATAAGAGAGAGATGACTCATAAAGGCAAACAAGGAAAAAAGTCAAGTTCTTTAAAAGGAAAGGCCTGTCTTCTTCTTTTGACCTAATGTATAATATTATTTACCCACTTTGAGGGTTTATATGATTTATTGATATATAACAATGTTTAAATGTTAGATATTAATGCTCTGGAAAATATTTTTTCCAGTCTATTTCCCTTTTGTCTTTTTTCTTACCTCTGCCTCACAGGGGTGTTTAAGCTTTACACAGTCAAATACACTCATCATTTTTATGTCTTTTCATCTCATATTCTAAAGGCTTTCCCACCTTAAGATTATTCAAAAAGATTCTCTGCTCTCTTCTAACATTCTTTATATTTACATCTGAATCTTCAATGAGCAATCTTTATGTGTCAAATGTGAGGCAGAGATCCTCATTTACTTTTTCCATGTGGATAGAGAGGTTACCAGTTTGCCTGACAATATAAATCCCTGCTGTATGTGTCAAGCAGCTTTCCCGTGGGCACTTCTGACCACTCACTCACTTCCCCTACCTTCGAGGCGGCCCTGTGAGAGCCATAGGACTTGTGCGACCCCCAGGAGGGTTTCAGAGCAGACAGGTAGCCAGGCCCCTTCATTTTTGCCCCCTAGGAGCTTCGGAAGAAGATCCTGGTGAAAGGGAAGAAGCTAAGGACGCTCGAGGAGGATCTTGAAGAAGAGGAACAGGAGGAAGAGCTAGAGACTGAGCTAGAGGGGCAGCAGGAGGCGGAGCTGGAGCCGGAGTCCCAGTTTGAGTCTGAGACGCAGGAGCTGAGCCCTCGCAGTAAGGACAAAAATGAGAAGGTAGGCCAGGAGCGTGGTCTTCGCTCTGGCATTTGGTCCGACTCTCACAAGCTGAGAGCCCATGTGGGAAGTCTAGAGCCAGGCAGGGTAGAGGGCCTAGGAGCAAAATGCCCCTTGCCCCCACTGAAAGAGGCAGAAGAATGCATCCTTGGCATCGTGATATATTGCCATACACAGCTATATTGCAGTGGCTTTCCAACTTCTTTGAGCCATGAAATCTTTTTAAATGAAATCTTACCTGGAAGCTCAGTATACAAAATAGATAAATGCAGAGCCATCCTAACTGACATGCCCATTTGGCTCTATCCTGGGCCTCCCAGGTAACTCCTGAGACATCTTTGTACTACTTCTAAGTCTCCTTAAAGGCAAGTTTGAAAGCGACTGGTGCGTGTGCGCAGCATTATTATATTGAGCTTAGTTGGAGAAAGCTACTTGGAAAGGGTGGGTCTGAGGTGGAGCCAAAAATAGCCAGAGGAGCAGGAAGAGGTGGGAAGGTGAAGGCTCTAACACTGTGTCTGAGTGGTCCAGCTCCCTGTGGGGAAGGGGTTTCACTTGCGGGACCACCAAGATCCTGGTTTGAAGTCTGCATTTCTTTTTTGTGTGCACTTGCCTGGCTCAGCTGACTAACTCCTGGCTTATACTGTTTCCCTTGGAGCTCTGGTGTCTAACCTGCTGCCATGTGCAGGGATGGAAATGGGAATTCAGGAGACAAAAGATAGTACTCTGGGATCCGCACATCCTCCCAGATGTGACTTCCATGACCATTTGCACACCTTGACATATCTACCAGGGTTCATGTACATTTAGACCAAAAAGAATTGTTGTTTTAAAAGAGGAAAGGCAGGGAGGATGACACCTCTCTGTTTAAAAATAATAATAAATTTAAAACCTGTTACTCAGAAAGTAATATAGAACAGACTCTTCAAGTCCAGAGGAAACTAATCCCATCAGTGTATGTAGCTGCCTTTATTCCCATTCCCATCCCCAGGTTGTGATGTGCCCGCTGCTTTGTTCGTCTGTCTGTTGTCAGATTATGGTCCAGGCTCCTCTTCCCAAGCCTGGGCTCCCTCTCTTTCCCAAGCAGGTGAGGCAGGAGGGAGAATGCACTGGGGAGGCAGTGGGCAGAGGCTTAGGTTGGGTGGGGAAGTTCAGATCTTGGCTATTGGCATCTTCCCTCAGATTGCTGATGATTCGATTCCATCTTCCTCTCTCCTTTTCTAGAAATCCAAGCCCATCTTGTGTCCATCCCTCTCTGCCCTGGTTGTCTACACAAAGACTGTTTCATTCCACAGCTTCACTCATTCAAGGGAGCACTACCGCTTCTATGAGTTATCGTCTTTCTCTGAAACGAAGGCCAAGAGCCTCATCAAGGAGGCCGGTCAGGACCAAAAAGGAGGGACAGGGAAGAAATGGGATGGGTAGGGTCAGGCCTGATGGGCAAGCAGATGAGTTCCCAGAAAGAAGACAAGGAAGCTAAGGAGGGATCAGGGAGCTAAGAAACTCCTCAGAGCAGGCTTGGGGACAGGAGTTATAAATAGTGGGCTCAAAGCTCTAGGGAGAAGCTGGGGGAGATGCTGGGGAGAAGACTGAAGCTGGTGGGTGGGGTCCTTGGGACCAGGGAAGGGAGAGCATCCACCCCCTTCCATCTGTCTACCTACCCCCTTTTTACAGGCAATGAGTTTGTGCAGCATAACGCCTGGCAGTTAAGCCGTGTGTACCCCAGTGGTCTGAGGACAGACTCATCCAACTACAACCCCCAGGAATTCTGGAATGCAGGCTGCCAGATGGGTGAGGGGGCAGTAGGGACAGGGAAGGGGGAGTGGAAGAGCAACAAGTGGGCAATAAGATCCTGGGTGGCAGAAGGACCAGGGAATGCTCCAGGAGGGCTAGGCTGAGAAAGATATCTAAGGAGGTGTTCCCAGCAGACCCTTTTATACCCAATATGTCTTTTTAACGCTCTGAAAGAGAGGCTAGATGGCCTCCAAGGTGAATCCTTCCCCTCTCTTCTTCTGGGGCCCTCAGTGGCTATGAATGTGCAGACGGCGGGCCTTGAGATGGACATCTACGATGGGCTCTTCCGCCAGAACGGTGGCTGTGGCTACGTGCTGAAGCCAGACTTCCTACGTGACACCCAGAGTTTCTTCCAACCTGAGAGACCCATCAGCCCTTTCAGAGCCCAGACTCTCCTAATCCAGGTATAATGGAAAGCAAACATGTTGGGAAGAAACTTGGGAGAGCTGAGAAAGAAGCAGGGGGGAGAGGTGGCTAGGCCGGACAGGAGTGCAACAGGTAAAAAGTAACTTGTGAGACGCAGGACTTTGGAGCCAATTGCCTATATTCAAACCCATTTACTAGCTGTGAAATGCTGGGCAAGTTCCTTAACCATAGTCTCCTCACCTGAAAATGGGGGTGATTCTACTACCTACCTCGCAGGGTTGTTGTGATTAGTTAAAATAAAGCGCTTACAACAATGCCTGGTGCACAGTAAATGCTATAGGAGGGGTCGCTGTCATTAACGCACCCTGAAACCTTGTTCGACTCCTACTTGGATGCATTTTACACTCACACAGATCACTAGAAGAGAATCTATTACCCATGGAGGACTGGCTTTGCGACCCCAAAGCTAGAGCACAGGTCCTGCATTTCTCCTCCTATTTTCTCCCTTGCCCCCCGGGGCTTGAGAGCTGGAGTGGGGCTGGGCTGAGTGGAAACTATTGCAGGTGATCAGTGGTCAGCAACTCCCCAAAGTGGACAAGAACAAAGAGGGGTCCATCGTGGACCCGCTGGTGAGGGTGGAGATCTTCGGCGTTCGCTCAGACACAGCCCGGCAGGAGACCAGCTATGTGGCGAACAACGGTGAGACTGGGCAGTGCTGGGGGGGCCTGACTGTCACTGCCTGCCATCCTGCCCTCCATCCAGTATAGTCCGTGCCACCACCAACCTCCCCCCACCTCCAAAGAGGCAGCATGGAACAGGACGAAGAGCCAGGGCTTGGATGTCTTCAGTTTGCATCCCGGCCCCTCAATTATAAGCCCCAGTGGCCCGGGCAAATTGCTTACCCACTCAGAGTCTCAATTTCCTCACCTAGTTGCTATGGAAATTAAGTGAGAGCACACAGGGAAAGAAACCAGCGTGCACCCCCTCCCCCAAACCAGTCAACAATGTCTGTTCCTTCATTCCCTCCCTCATTCATCCCACCTTCCACCCCAGGTTTTAATCCGTACTGGGGGCAGACACTGTGCTTCCAGCTGCTGGTGCCTGAGCTGGCCATGCTGCGTTTTGTGGTAATGGATTACAACTGGAAACCCCGAAATGACTTTGTTGGTCAGTACACCCTGCCTTGGATATGCATGCAACAAGGTGAGCGGGTCCTTCTACCCCTGGCCAAACCCCCTAACTGGCTGCCTTCCTAATGGTGTCCTGTACCTTTCCAGGTTACCGCCACATACACCTGCTCTCCAAGGATGGCACCAGCCTCCATCCAGCTTCCATCTTCGTGCACATCTGCATGCAGGAAGGGCTGAAGGAGGTTGAATCTTAAGGTGGGCACTTCATGGGAAGGGCGGGTGCACTTGCTTTAGATGGCAACAAAAACCTGGAAGAATGCTCCAGAAAGCAGAGGTGGTGAAAACCAAGCACGGGGTTGTGCATTCCCAGGCACAAAATTTCCTCACCTTTCCTAACAAGCAAATCTAGGACCTGATTTTTCACCTGCTCTCTCTTCTCTTTCCCAAAACTTTTGGTATCGTTCCTGCTCTTCACTTTTGCGTACTCTATACTGGAGTTCCTTCTTTCCTTTTGCTTTAGGCTTAGTCCCATACCCGGACCCAGGACTACTCTCATCAACTCTGGCTCAAAGGCAGATTGCAACTACAAATCCAGAGGGGTTTGGGGCAGAGAAACCCAGAGAGGCATTATCCCTCTCCCCCACCTTACTCAAAAGTCCAGAGCCAAGGAAGGGAAACACCAAGCCTCAAGCCTCCCCAAGCAAAGGCTGGGGAAAGAGACCCGACCCTGACTGTACTGTGACTCTCAAGAGAACACTGCATGGCCCTGAGAGCCCACACTGGACTGCTCCCTGCTAGCCCCACCAGTGTTAATAGAGCTGCTCTCCCCAATTTGGCTTGAGTATGGTCTGTCATTGCTGGGCAAGAAGGGGAAGAATGAGGGTTGGGGGACATTTGGGTAGACAAGTGGGGCAGGAAAAAGGTAGAAAAACAAGTTTCCAGGGGTCCCTCTGCATGTGCTACATAGGAATGGTAGAGAAATATGACTTCTAGGGGTCAGGGTAAAAGGAGCAGGCAAAGGGTTATGTGATCCCAGCCCTCCTGAAGAGTTTGCCTGGGACAGTCCTGATTTATGTCTGCTGTCCCAGCATAATTATTAATAGTACTCTCTTTAATTTCCCTACTGTGTCCCAGGTTAGATGATTATAGTCACTGTGAGGCACTGAGAATTCTGCTTTAGAGATTTACCTCCACCCCTGCAATAATTTGCCTTTCACACTATCTTTGTGCTTTAACTCTAGTATAGTTGCTGACCCAGTGTGAGGACTGATGTTGAATTAAAGCTGCTTCTATGAGGAAGCTTGGTGGGTGGCAGTCCTCCCTCTACAGGTAGACAAAGTGGCTCAGAAATAGGGAGCAGAGCAAGGGCCAAGACAGGCTCTAGAATAGAGGAAAGGCAGACCTGGCCCTGTTTGAGAATCAATCACTCAGTGCAGATGGAAGGAGAGTAAGAAGAGGCAGAGGTCAAAGAGGGGACAAGCAGATCAAGATGACAGCCTGGAATGTTGAAATAGGGACATGGACGCTACAAGCTAGTGATCATTCTGTTTAACATGCTTTATAGAGCATTAGGCACAACAGCACATGCGGTTCAGTACAACTGTTTTGAGGATGGTGAATGAAAATAGGACTTGACATAGCAAGGAAAGAAAAGATGGAATTGGTAAAACCAAGATCTTATGGTCAGGGACTTTGGTGGAGGGATGGTGAAGAAATTAGGACCTCACAGGTTAAAAACACAGTGGTTCTCAACACAAAATCAATTTGTGGTTCATGTCTCTTTTACGTAGTTGTCAACTTCAAAGTACTATAGTCAGAGTCCTAGGACGGTTCCAGACAACCTGACACTCCAAAGCCAGCCCTTCCTTATGCTTTGAGCTTCTCAGGCTGGCTCTGGTTCCAGCCTGCAATCCTGGACCACACCCTCTTCTTGTCTGGGAGATGGGCTGGGCCCTCAGCCCTCAGGTCCAGTTGGGGGAGCAGAAGGAGCAGGAGGGCTGGGATCCTCCAGCTGCACATCATGCAGGTGCACCGTGGGGGTGGTGGGGTCTTTGCCCACGCCTTGGTTTGGGTCAGCCTGGTCAGGGTGGTGCCTGCGCACATGCTTAACCACCTGGAACTTCTGCTTGGCCTTGTAGCTGCAGAGACGGCAGAAGAAGGGGTGGCGGTCGGTGTGGGTGAGGGCATGATGGCGCAGGCCCGCAGCCCAGCGGAAAGCACGGTGGCACACGTTACACACATAGGGCTTGGCCTCGCTGTGCTTGCGGAGGTGGGTGCGCAGCAGGAAGCGTGTCTTGAAGGCCTTGCCACACTGCTCACACATGAAGGCCCGTGCTTCCCGGTGCCTGGTCTCCTGGTGTACACGCAGTGCATCGGCCCGGTTGGTGCAGTACTCACACTCGGGACACTGGTATGGCTTCAGTCCTGTAGGACATGGCAGACAGGGAACAATCACCACTGAAGGGGGTGGAACAGGGTTCAGCAGACCATAAGAGTCACTATGATCTTGGGACATAAGGAACACAAGCAGCAATCTGACTAATACCATCTCTTTGGAATATTCCAGTCTTGTCTGACATTTTTGTCCCTTTCTCCCAACACGGCCCCTTGTATACCATGGGTGCTCAACAGGCACTGATAACTAACTGGACCCTTAAACAGGCACCTGACAGCAACGGACACTCAAATATGGTAGGGTTTCCAAATGGGAAATTCCAACCTCCTTCTGGTCATGGGGTACTCATGGAAGCTGGGGATGCATTTAAATATAACTCCTGCCCTAGCTGGTTTTGCTCAGTGGTCAGAGCGTCGGCCCGTAGACTGATGGGTCCCGGGTTCTATTCCAGCCAAGGGCACGTACCTAGGTTGCAGGCTCGATCCCTGGCCCCGGTTGGGGAGTATGGGGGAGGCAACCAATTGATGTGTTTCTCTCACATGGATGTTTCTCTCTTTCCCTCCCTTCCACTCTGAAAAGCAATGGAAAAAACATCCTCAGGTGAGGATTAAAAAAAAAAATACAACTCCTCGTTCAATTCAAGAAGTCAAAATGTTCAAGAGGGAAGGGGGTAGAGATGAAAGAAGTGGCATTCATAGACCCAGAGGGCCTTGAAACACATCTGCTCAATTCCTTCACATGAGGAGATCATGTGCATCAATCACAGGCATATAACCATTAACCATTTTCTGAGAACCTGTAGTTTGTGGACTCCATAAGCGGGAGAAAAATAGGGTAAGTTAAAACAGGTGAACCTTCCCACTTTCTCCTCGTTACTCGTGATGGTTCCATCGGGTCTGTAGAAACCAGGTAGATGTGCCCTTGGTCATTCATGTTTGAGTTGGGTTCTCAACGGGAGGTGGGTGACCTGGTACCACAATCTCCTGGGGAGCCTTTGAAAAGTATACATACCCAGGCTCAGGTTCACCTCTCTTCTGATTCTGATAGGTCTTCAGTGGGTTGAGGAGCTATTCTAGCCATCTGACCTACCCACTACCCCAGTGTGAAAACTGATGTGCACCCTGAATCTGAGTAAGGACATATACCACCTCAGGAAGTTGGGTGTGCCAGGGAATGGGGGAACCCCTTGGGTCTGTCAAAACCATGCAGACTCACCTGTGTGCTTGGTCATGTGGTACTTGAGCTGGTTGACCCACTTGCACTTGTAGCCACAGTCAGGGCACAGATACTTCCGTTCCTCCTTATGGATCCGCATATGGTACTGGAGGAGGGGAGAGCAAAGAATATGCCCAGAAAATGTGCACCCCTGGGTACTCAATGGATGAGGAAATGGGGGAAGAAGGCAGAGAGACTGTTGGCAGACAACCCTGTTCCCTGCTCCCATCCTATCCATATTCCTGTTACCAATTAGGTTCCCCAATCTGGCCACTTTGACACCAACCTAACCCATTTGGCCTATCCCTAGATCTGCCCAGACTATCTCAGCTCTGCCACTTTATTTCCTGTGTCTTTGGGTAATCTAACCCCTAATTCTCAGCTTAATAATCTGTAAATAAGAAACAGTAAAAGTAGCTATATCTCATATTTTTCAAAGGATTAAGATTAGTGCCCAGCATAGAGTAAGTGCTCAATAAATATTAGTTATTATTATCTAAATTATCACCAACCAATTACATGCCTTTATCAAATTTCATACTATGGAATTTTATCTTCATAACAACTTTATAAAGTACTATCGCATTTTTACAGATGAGGAATCTGAGGTGTGGAAAATTAAGGAAATTGACAAAGGTCATAAAGCTAATATTTAGGAGACTTAAGATTAGAGAACCCAGGCAGTTTAACACCACAGCCTGTACTCCTGGCCCCCTTGGTCCCTGACCTTACCTTGAGGCGAGAGGGGTCAGCACAGGCATAGGGACAGAGGTGACAGCGGTAGGGCTTTTCCCCAGTATGAATGCGGCTGTGCCAGGTGATCTTCTGCCGGTTCTTGGTGCTGTAAGCACAATCGGTGCACTTGTAGAGCCTGGTGCCCCCATGCCCTCTCACATGGTGATCTAGTACCAGCTGGTGGCGGCACGCGAAGTCACAAAAGGGGCAGCGCAGAGGGGGCTGGCCAGCATCCCCATCTGAGGCTGCTGCAGCTGAAGTCTCCTCATGCTGTTCCAAGTAGTGCTTCACCAGGCCCACCCGCTCCCGGGCAGCAAAGTCACAGAGCTGACAGCGGTGGCTAAAATGCTGCTGCCTCCGGTGCTCATCCAGTGCTGGTCGGCTGGGAAAGGCCTGCTGGCAGGCCCCACACTCAAGCCGTGGGTGCTGTTTACACGTGTGTCCTCGCAGGCTGGCAGGGCTGGGGCACAGGAACCCACAGCGGGAGCAGTTCAGGGTGCCCTCAGTTGCCTCTGCAGGGGAGCCGGGGACTGGGGGTGTAGGCTCGGGATGCCGGCGCAGGGTGTGCTGCTTGAGTGCTGTCTCAGAGCTGAACTGAGCCTCACACTGGGGACAGGCAAAGGCTGGGTTGCCCTGGTGGCAGCTGTTGACATGGCGAGTGATGTCATGGCGAAGGTAGCCACTATAGTCACAGAGTGGACAGAAATGGGTGGGTGTTTTGTCATGTACCCTCAGCCGGTGTAAGCGCAGTTTTGAGTTAGTACCAAATGTCTGGGGACAGGAACTACAGGGGATGCGGCCAACACCTGTGTGTCGGGACTGGTGAGCCTCCAACCGGTAACGTCTAGTGGTGGAAAAGTCACAGAAAGGGCACTGGTGTGGCTTCACTCCCTCGTGCTTTAGCCGCTGGTGCTGCTGCAGGCACCTGCTCTGTTTACAGACAAAGCCACAGTCCCCACACTGGAGAGGGGGCCGGGGGCCACGGGCTGGGGACACAGAGGGGTGCCTTCGCTTCTGGTGGAGCTTCAGGGCAGCAGCAGCAGGAGTGGTGAAGGAACAGAGGCTGCAGTGCAACTCTTCAGATTGCTCAAGGGGGCAGCCCCTGGTCTGGTGAGTCCTCAGAGCCCGCTCCTGCTGGCAGCTAAAGGGACACGTAGGACAGGAGAAGCGAGCCGCCTTCTGCTTTGGAACCAGAGCTGTGTCCCCATCACCAGGGCTGCACTCTGTACTCCCACTGTTTAGGGGAACAGAGTCCCCATTGCTCAGTGGGGACACAACAGGCGGGGTCTGAGAGGCTCCTCGCTTTCCTGCTCCACTACGTACCCCCCGGCAGCCTTCAGCCACGTGGGAAGTGATGGAGGAGAGCCGAGAACAAAGGAACATGCAAGAGTTGCAGTGAAACTTGCCCTGTTCAAAGTGGAACTTCTCAGGGGTCTCTGGGGATGAGGAGCTTCCTTCAGGAAGTACTGTGGAGCTGGAGAGTGTGGCCAGAGGCTCCTCTATTTCTTCTGGTTTCCTAGGAAGCTCAGGAGCATCTTTTGGGAGCACTACCTCTATTTCTAATGGTGCAAGTGGGGGCTTCCCACCTTCTGCAGCCTCTGAGGCCTGGGTGCCAGTGGGCAGAGGATGCAGAGGGATAGGTGAATCTGCTCTGGGCAAGCCCTTGTTCTTTTTGAGCAGAACAGGGCACTTCTTCAGCAGGTGGGTACTAAGGCCACGCTGTTGCTTGAAACTAGCCCCACACTCAGGGCACAGCAGGGGCTCTCGGCGGCCCTGGCACCCAGTCCTGGAGTGCAGACTCAGGGCCTTCTCCCGGCGGGTAATGAAAGGGCAGTGTGGGCAGCGGAAGGCCCGCCCCTCTCCCTGTATCACTACCATCTGAACCCGCCCCTCCAGTACCAGCGCCTCTGCTTGTTCTTTGTCCTGTCTCCTCAGGGCCTTGAGTAATGACTCTGACTCAGGGAACTGGGGCAGGACTGCTGTCTCAGTGGGTGGAGTTGCCTTGAAGGTTCCCACCCAGCTGTTAGGGGGTTCCTCAGAGGAAGGAGGATTTCTGGGGGGCTCAGGGATTGGCTTTTCCAGAATGGGCTCTTCTTCAGAACCCA